AGACAATTATAACATTCTGACACACCCCCATAGGCAAAGTGGGGTATAATCAGTACAGCATGCAGTCACAAAATAGTTCACAAGCACAAGTAAAGGTAGAGGTAGTCACAGAGGGCATGTGAGGAGGAGGGACTGTGAGAGGAGAGGAGATGGGAGGCGACGGCGGAAGCTGCAGACACACAGGAGCTGCTGGCTCAGTGGCGACCGAAGCAATGGCCCGGACTACAGGAGTAACCGGCTCCGCGGAGATTGTAGCCTCCTGACTGGAGCAACTGACCCACAGGCGACTGGCGACTACCGGAGATTGTAGCCTCCGGACTACTGGTGCTGCTGGCGACACGACTGCTACCTCCGCTCAACCTCCGCCAACTGCCCCACGCCCCTATCACACACCCCCTGCTGAACCCCTAGCTCTGCTCACCCGCCACCCCCCTAGTACCACTCCAACTCCGACGGCTCCAACACATCCACCCCCCTCAGCGGCAGCTGCAGCAGCGGGAGACGGAGGAGGAGGAGGAGCAGGGGACGGCGCACACACCCGGCACCCCCATACTCGCCACCCCCACACTCGCCACCCCCAAACCCTAACTCGGGCAGCACGGGGTAGGAGCGTGGGCTGCAGCGCGGGGGACGGCGCGCGGCTCCCCAGGGCGCCGCGACAGGGTAGCGGGGGGTCGCGCGCGGCTCCCAGGGCGTCGCGACAGGACGGCAGAGGCCGCGCGCGACACCAGGGCGCCGCGACGCGACGGCAGGGGCCGCGCGCGCCTTGCCAGGGCGCCGCGACACGACGGCAGGGGCCGCGCGCGACACCCCAGGGCGTCGCAACGGACGGGCGGGGGGCGCGCGCGGCTCCCTAGGGCGCCGCGACGGAACAGCGGGGGCGGCACGCCACCAGAGAGTAAACCGCCGTGCGCTGGGATAACAATTACGTCGCACGCCACGGGGCGCGCGACAGACCGAGTAGCAGCGGAAGCAGGTAGGTGGGCCCACAGGCCTAGGAAGGACAGGCTCTGATAGCATGTCAGAGATAGTAGCAGAAAGTTAGAACAAGAAAAAGAGAGTTGCACTGGTAAGCAGGGCAGTACATATAGCAAACCCTAACAGGGTTGTACTCACTATAGAGTACCCCACTGCAGACTAGACAATTATAACATTCTGACACAAAAATGTTAAGAGTTTTCGGCTGCATGGTACAGTACCGACCCCCATCTGCATGAGCAGACCGATTTTCCCAACGCGCACAGTGGGGACTACACATGGGCATCGAAAGAAATTACAACGCGTGGAAGATTTTCGACGTCCACTCCAAGGAAACAGTAGCAGCACGTGATGTCATCTTCTACGAACGACTCACCCTTCAGACGTACCTTGCCAACTTGGAAGAAGATCGGGACCCCACAGGTGGCTTCCGTGGTGACCGAGCCTTCGCCTCGGCAGCAGACGAAGCTGACTGGGACGAGCAGAATGTGGATGCAGCCTCGGAGGAAGCCGGACCTCTCCCTTACTACTCCGTCGACGTCCCAATGGATGACGAAAATCCTCGCGACAGCATCAACGCCGAAGTGTTTTACCACTTCGCCGACAACGGTTACGTTACACCTGCAGAAGTCAACACCAACGAAGCAGAACGCATAGGGCCTAACTTCATACCTGACCCAGAAGCAGGTGACGAAGCAGCTTATCCCGCGGACACAACACTCCCCCGCTACACACAGAGTGGCCTCCAGATACTCGGCCTCGTCACCGCGGTCCACGGCACTGAGATTCCTAAGGAGCCTGCCACAGTTCAGCAGGCTTTGGGGGGGGAGCATAGGGAAAAATGGCGTGAAGCCATGGACAAGGAGCTGAAAGCACTGGAAGAACGGAACACCTGGAAAGTTGTTCCCGTCGGCGTGGCACGAAACAAGACAGTACTCACCGGGAAATGGGTCTTCCGTGTGAAGACAAAGGCAGACGGCACCATCGACAAGTTTAAGGCGCGCTGGGTCGTACGCGGTTTCGACCAAGAGCACGGACGCGACTTCACCGAGACATTCGCCCCGGACAGCCGACACACCTCGCTGCGACTTCTCCTCGCGATCGCCGCCATGAAGAAGAAGAAACTGCGGCAAATTGACGTCGCCACTGCATTCCTCTACGCACCTGTCGACGCAGAAATCTTCGTCGAACTACCACATGGTTCCAACGGAGAACCTAATCACGTCTGTCAGCTGCTGAAGTCGCTCTACGGCATCAAACAAGCCCCGAGACTGTGGCAGCAGTACCTACACGCTCGACTTACTCGCATCGGATTCCGGCAGCTACCGCACGACCAAGGCATGTACCGGCTCACGAAAGGCGATAACTATATTCTACTAATCGTCTACGTAGACGATCTACTCTACATCGGGTCGACCGACAACGTCACCACCTGGTTCGAAAGGGAGTTACAGAAAGACCTCACGCTCACAGTCTCATCTACCGTCACGCAGTACCTCGGCCTCAACATCCAGGAAGGAGAAAGCGCGATCTACCTCAACGCCGCAAAATACGCCGACACCATCGCCAAACGCTTCGCACTCACGCCAACTACCATCTCTACGCCATATCGCTACACGGCAGGAAATCACAAGGAAAGGTCCACTCTACTCAAGCCTGCCGGGATATGCGACTACCAGAGGAAGCTGGGATGCCTTCTCTTCGCAGCTGTCACCTGCCGCCCGGACCTATCATACTCTGCAAGTCAACTCGCCACCTACCTTAAAAGGCCTGAAGCTGAACACATGGCGGAGCTCGACCGCGCTCTTCACTACCTCGTTAGCACGCCACCGATCGGCCTGACCTACTACAAGAACGGAACTACAACGCCTAAGTTAATCGGCTACGTCGACGCCAACCACGCCGGAGATTCTGACAACAGGCGCTCGCGCACAGGCTACATCTACCGCCTCGAGCCTATCGGACCTATCTCATGGCAGTCAAACAAGCAGGAATTAATCGCTCTCTCCTCAGATGAAGCAGAATATATCGCACTCTGCTCAGCCACCAAGGAAGGATTGTACCTTTGCGAACTCTTGGAGGAAGCGAAGCTGGCTCAGTTACCCAGCTTCACTCTGTTCTGCGACAACCAGTCGGCAATTCGCATAGCCAACAAAAACGGATTCGCGAACAGGACGAAGCATATCGCCCTGCGATATTTCTTCGTGAAAGACGAGATCGAGAAGGGGAGACTCGAATTATCCTATTGCCCCACGTCCTAGATGGCAGCTGATTACTTGACCAAGAAACTCGGAAAACATAAGTTCGAGTACTGCATGCTGCTGACTGGACAGAGCCACGTCACCAGCAGCGGCACTCCAGAAGCGAAGGGGAGTGTTGGAAACAATTGATTTAAGCGCCCCTGTCGTGTCGAAACACCAAGTCAGAAGCGAAGCACAACATATCGAAGCATCAGCGAGTCAACCCTCGGAGGTTGAGCAACTGCTGGAGGTTACGCGAAAGTCAAAGGTCAGCGACCTTTGACCTGACAAGTACAGCGCGACAGCAAGGACAAACAACTGACCCTCTATTGAGCAGTTGCCCGAGTCGTCACTGTATCGAACCGCAACAGCAACAGCAAAACCGTTATTAGTCATAACCCTTCATATTCCTTTGTACTATTATAAAAGCTTGTATCTCTTTGTTTTAATCAATCTACTTTGCCCCCACATACCAGCGCAAGGTGGTTCACAACCTTTCATTAAACGCTTCCGCTATTACATCAGTCCTACCAAGAACTTAGTCCTGCAAATATTCTAAGGGGTTTTTCAGCCCAACAATTTCAACGTGCTGCCTCCCTGTAAACCTGGTATGCGTGGAGATCTGAATGCACACTTGGCTAATTCAACGAGCACCTAATGTTTCTGGATTAACGAAATGGAGTATGTCAGCTTTCATTACGCCAAGGTGGGTTTTGGTTTCCGCTTATTATTGTTGTGTGCCAAATGCCGCTGGCCGACTTTAACCAGACCATTATCGGGTCTGGTATTCATCGTTGTACCGAGATCTACTCATATCGGATCATCTCGACCCGTTGAGTTGTCAAGAATCGTTAGAAGCACTGTCTGTGTCACACGCCGCTCTTGTTCCGTAATATCCGCAAAAGCGCTTGGCGATGTTGACATATCGAATGGTGGCCCTTCACAGACTTTTTTTTTGTTTCGGGACGGATGTTCCACGGATAAATGAGTTGCAGTATTGCTGCAGCATGGACACTCTCTGCTCTGACGATGTTTTGAAGTCTCGTACGTCCCTCGAACTCGTTAGTTTTTGCTACCGATCCTTCACGCAGTACTGAATGCAACCTATAAATAGTTTTTTGGGTGCTCGCTGGATTCGCCCTCACGCCCCCCATTGTCCTGTCCTGATCGCCGAGGGGCAATAAGCCCCTCTGCGGTACGTGAAACAGCCAATGGTTGGGCTGTACATTTCGCGCTTCGATTTCTCTATCCATAGAATCGAGCCGCGATAAGCTGGCCTGCGTGTCACGGTGATCTTCCGCCCTCCTTGCGACTACTGAAAGCCCTCACAGCGCTCACGCCCGACGCCCTACCTAGCGGTGACACATAAATCTGCGTTTCTAATCACCATTAGCCATCAGTCGAATCACCATCAGCCATCAGTACTGCTAAAGTTTCACCTCCACCATTCAAGCGATCCTGCTGAGGCAGCCTCACATAGACAGGACACTTCCTACCCCTCCCTTCCATACTGCGAGTAGTCCGTGGACTCTTTGTGAGCTCTTTCTCTTCGCGAAAATGGAGTTTGGTTGGGTGAAACGCGCGGCCATATGGACATTTGCTGGACTAGGCCTCGCGCTGGCCGTAATCTCCTGCTGCGAGATGGCCGATAACTATCTCGTTGTTTCCCACCCTGACGCCTGCATCACTTCATCCAATCGAACCCACTGCACGACAGAGTTTCGCGTGGCGCGGAGATCCCTAGGTGTCGTGCCGCAGACGCCGGAGCAAGTGACCGCGGCTATGATCGCAACGGTACAAGCGCAAGTCGCAGCGCTGATCGAGGCGGCCGAGGAGATTAAGACAAACAACGTGGAGGAAGATCATTTTACGAATGCAATGGCGAGGAGCTGCGCGCGACAAGCCACCATCGCGCTGCGCTACCTGGGGCAGGCGGGGGATGCGGTCGAGGCGGGCACGAATCAGCGTGACGTGCCGTACTGGTTGGCAGCCGCTGATACGCAGATCGGCAACTGCGTCGACGGCTTCCAGACTTTCTCACCCGCGGCACAAGGCTTCCCCGCCTACGTACACCTCGAGGTTCATTACAGATTCTTCAATGTCACATTGAATTTGGTAAAGCATTCGGCTCCTTTGCTCCCATGTGCCGCTTTTTGCACCAAGGTTTCCTCACTTGCGTATTTTTACCATAAAACAGCTTATTTTCTCCGCGCAACAGCAGCACTGGTTACTATCCAAATCTGAATTTCAGTGCTCGTCTCTCCTTATCCCCCACCTCCCCACTTCCCCTCCGCAGTATACGGCTAAGAGGGCGGGAAACACGCTTGAAGCACTCGTGTCCATTACCAACGCCGCCGCGAAGGCCGCCACATCCGCCGCTATCAGCGTCTCATCAACGGAGGAGGATGTTGCTCCTGTGCGTGGACGCCGCATGGCCGTCCGATCCAGTAGCTCGGGATCCGCGGGGAACGGCGCGATGGACTGGCTTGAACCGGGATTGTACGAGCAGCTTCAGGAGCTTCAAACGAGGCTGAACGCCGGATTTGCCGCTGCGGGCGGGGAGGATTCGGAGGGTGGTTCTACCTCGAGAAGGCGTCTGCTCCGCCACCACCACCATCACCATCACCACGACAAGAAAGACAAGAAGAGCAGCAGCAGCAGCAGCAGCAGCAAGAGCAGCAGCAAGAGTAGCAAGAAGAGCAGCAAGAGTAGCAAGAGCAATAAGAAGGCGTCGCCGACAGCCGGTCCGATGGTCGTGAGCCCGTCGCTTGCGGCCAGCGCGATCGTCGGATCCGGATACTCGACGATCCAGGACGTCGTTGACGCCGCGCCCGGCGGCACGCGATTCGTGATCTACATTCCCGCGGGAACGTACAAGGAGCAGGTGTTGATTGAAACGACAGATGTCGTTCTGATTGGTGCGGGCGCGGACAAGACGATTATCACGGGCGACGCGAGCTACGGCAGCGGGTCGGGGACCTTCGAGTCGGCTATAGTCGGCGTGGATAGCGATAGATAATACCGTTCTTTCCCCTTCTTCCCGTATATCTCTCCCGTTTATCTCTCCCGTTTATCCCTCTCCCCCGTTTCTGTCCTTATCTCTCTCCCCCGTTTCTGCCCTTCTCTCTGCTCTCCCCCTCGCTTCCATCTCACTCACGGCTTCCTGCCTTTCTCTTACTGCCCTTGCCTCATCTACCCACCCACCTGGTAACCACCCGTCAGGTTCGTCGCTTTCGGAATCAAATTCGAGAACACCGCAGGCCCCGAGAATCACCAAGCAGTTGCTTTCCGCGCCACAGTCAACCAATCAGCTCTCTTCGACTGCGCGTTCGACGGATCGCAAGATACATTGTACGTGGACGCGGGTCGCCAGTACTACAAAAACTGCTACATTGGTGGCTCGCAGGATTTCATTTTCGGCGACGCGGCCGTTGTTATCGACGCGCCGAAGATTCAGCTACACCCGAGCCCCTCTTTCGGGACTCTGACGGCGTCGGGCCGCGCCAAGGATACCCCGACGGGGATTGTGATTCGCGACGCTGTTGTCTCGGCGGACAGCGGCACAACCAAGGTGTATCTGGGCCGTCCGTGGAAGAAATGCGCCTTCAATGTTTTCATCAACGCCGATCTCCCCGCGGTACGCATTCCTTCCTTCCGTTTCTGTCTGCGCGGTTTCCGTTTCCGTTTCCGTTTCCGTTTCCGTCACTCCTCTGAGAGTAGGCAATGAATCACTCGACCGCGCCGTTCGTATCACTCCCCATCCACCTTTCGTTAACCGTAAACCCTGGATGGCTATGGTAGAACGAGAGCAAGCTGCATGTTTGCTTACCTACCTTCCTCCCACCTCCCCACCCCACCTCCCCACCCCACCTCCCCCCCATCCCATCTCCCATCTCCCATCCCCTCGCAGGTGATCGAGAAGGACGGGTGGCTGTCGTGGAACGAGGGCAGCTGCATGTTTCTAGCGGAGGCGGGCAGCAAGGGGCCTGGCGCTGCGTCTTCCCGCGCGGACTGGGTGGACCCTGGGATCATCACGGACACCACAGGATACGATGCCAACACTTTCACGCAAGTCAACAATTGGCTCACCTGGTCGGGCTAGTGTTTATCTTAGCGTTTTCAGCACCAGCAGCAGCAGCAGCAGCGGCGGCGGCAGCAGAGTTTCAGTAGCGGTCATGAGCACACAGGCAATGACTGTAGAAGCGCCAAACCAGTTAGAACAGCTACCTCTCCTGGCTGGGGTAGTGTTTATGGTAGCGTAAACACGAGCAGCAGTCATGAGCACCTGACTGCGGAAGCGCCAAACCCAGTTAGGAAATCAGAGTTTTCTAGATGCAGTTGCAAGTTATTTGTGCTCTTTTGTTTGACTCTTGTAGTACTACAGTAAAATGATTATACAAAACTATCTAAATATTATGTTGGTGGTTGGCAGTGATGGTCATTGGCAGTGATGGCCATGTGGAACACTTCTAGCTGGCCCGCAGCAGGAGCAACTGTAGAAAAGGGGGAAGTGAAGAGTGCCTGCAGTGTATGCACAGGTGAAGCGTCAAAATAATATCCTGTCAACACATGAAGTAAGTGCCGAACATGAAGACCTTGGCAAGGTGGCTGACGTTGCCATACCTAGGATGTGGCCTGGTCAGACAGGGCAGAGCAATGAGGCTGATGGTTTGAAGTGATTGCAGTGATAAGAGTGTAAATGGGAGCACCCCATGTAAACGTTTCTAGCTGACCCCCAGCAGAAAGAGGTGCAATGCAACTGTAGAAAAGAAGTATGTGAAGCGAAGCATGGCTGCAGTGCATGCAGTTGGGAACCATCAACCGAATATTCTAGGTTTGGTAAATGCTGTGCTGAATAATTGAAGAGCTTGTATGTAATGTACAGCTGCACCTACCATGTGTGTTGCTCACACAGTGACCAAGAGATTAGGTGTGGTCTTTCTTCCTGGCAACACAACCTTTGAAATTGATCAGTTATAAATCAAAGAACACTAAACACAGGACATGGCAAGCTTACAACAACGGCCCTTAAAACTAGAAACTCCAAGGGCAACATAACTGAACCAGGTCGTTCGATGCTCTTGAGAAATGGAAAAAAAAAAACAAGGGACTCGCCGTGTTCTAAGCTTAAACATACCTGAAACAGGTACCCGAGCAAAACAAATCAATATTATTAGAAGTTCCTAGGAACCAAAATGCAAGTGACTCAAAGAAGAAACTAAGGGTGCGTTCTTGGCAGTGTCATGCCCTGACACAAGGCTACTGACGAATTAGAGCATTCCACCTCTGTAGGCATGCTCAAATCGTCACCCCTCACAGCTTTGTGTCAGCAACTTGACACACTAGCTAAGAACGCAGCCTGAGTCTCTTGGAGCTGAAAACAAAAAGGAAAACGAATGAGCGGGAAAAAAAGAAAAGAAAAAAAAAAGAATGCGCGGGCGTGCGAACGAGGGAATGCGTGGAGAGCCGCAGATTGCTGTGCTTCCCTCCGCCGCCGTAACTCTCACGCCTTTACAGTCACACCGAACCTGTTGTCTTCAAAGCGAACCAGCCTGCCTCGTTTTCAACTTTCAATATTGTCACACCACCTTCTTAGTCACCCCCAGAGCTGGTGTTGTCCCCAGGCTTCTTTCAGTCACATCTTCCAGTAGTGGCGGCACCTTGACGTGTATTACAGCCTCACGGAAAAGGATCCTGACCACAAGCCAACCTATCAGTTTCCTTCCTCCATCTGCCTCTTTTTTATCACGCCGTTTACAGTCACATGATGATCTGACGGTGCAGCCCTGAGGTCCGTTCGACACGTGGGGCAGGTGGTTGTGGCGGCAAGCCAGTGGTCGATGCAGCTGACGTGGAACCGATGCGAACAGGGCAACGCACGAAGCAGCTCGCCTTCGTTATAGTCACTCAAACACACCGTGCACTCGTTGCTCGCCAATGCGAGCCCTCCAGGTTTCCCCTTCCCAGTAGCGCCGCCATGGGAGTGGTTGGCAGGTGGAAGGCAGCGAGGAGCAGGAGGAGCAGCACTCCTCCTGGCAGGAGGAACACGTTCAATGCGATAAGGTCTGACGGGGAACGATGCGAGCTGCGCTGGGTGCAGCCCGGAGGGGGTGCGGACCGGCACTGATATAGTCACTCTCGGTACAGTGTCAGTGTCGTCTAGCGTTGTATGCGAGTGGTCCACGTGGCTTCGAGCAGCACCATGGCGACGAGAGCGTGTCCACTGGAGAAAAGGCATCGCACGGTGCGAGGAGGAGTCGCTGACTAGGCTTGGGATTCCCAAGGCGCGAGGAAGGGTAAGAAGTAGGTAGTCGTAGTGAGGAGACTTGGTACCACGAGTGCTACTAGGAGTACTAGTAGCGGCCTTTAGTGGTGCCTGAAGGGTCCCTCCAAAGGAATGGGTAAAACTGGAGGGAGGGAGGGACGGTGAGACCTATATACACCCGGAGCACTATGAGTCGACTCAAAAGCAGACTCAGAGTACTAAGACTAAAAATAGGAATGAAGAGCAGCAGACAAGCCTCTTCGTTCTGAGATGTCTCCTGAACGAGCACGTCACGTGTGGTGCGGACGAACCTACCCGTTGATAGGGACTTGCTGGCGCCATCTGCTAGTCGCCTGCTTCGCTGGGCGCGTGTGGTGTGGTGTGGTGTGGTAGCGTGGCGATGATGAGGACACGAGCGGCCGTCCGAGTCGTATATTAAGCAGCCACCGCCGTCCTAGAGAAAAGTACAGTCTTTCTAGCTTCAAGAAAAAAAAAAAGACCCAGCCTAGGCCCATCATGCGTGCATCGCTGCCCCGCCCGCCCGCATACCTGCCTCGTGGTCGTGTCGCCGTGCACACGCGCCGAAACGAAGTCCTCCCAACCGTACCCAATTCCAGAGTTTCCCGTTCCGTTCCAGTCACCGCACAGCACCCCCTCCCCGTCTCAACGGGAAACTCATATGGCGACTCCTTACACCTAGCAAATCAAATCATCATGCCCTCCCACCCACCAAGGGCATTTGCAGAAGGGGCTCAGTAGCCCCCCCGCATCATCCTACTGTATTCGTCTGGCACGCCTTTCTCCCCGTCTGTTGGTGCTGCTCCCAGTAACTGCCAGTACGTCAGCGTGCATACACCAATAATTGACATCTGTACCTTGCAGTTACTTCCGGAATGCTTGACGCCATGCGGGGCAATCACCGCCACTGACACCGTAGATAGACACCGTAGATAGAGAGACAGACTGTACGATCTGTACGCAGCATGGGATGAGAGTATACGATCCGTACTCAGCACTGGTGCCGACCTCGTGGGTGGAATCTGACCCTACAAGACCGGAAAATGCAGCGAGTGGGTTGAGACTGTAAGAGCACAAGTGGCGTACTGTATAGCCAGTTTAAGTGCGGGAAAGACGGCGTGGCCAGTGGCTCGGTATGGAAGGGACCTGGATAAGCTGGGAGGGATGTTGTGACGACTAATGCGGTCCGCACAATTGCGTCTCTACATTTGGGACAGAGGTGAAGTAACTGTATGTCTAATAACTACAGCTGGGTGTGAGAACATGCCTGCCTACTGGGGAACGTTCGTGTAAAAAAAACCCTTTCCTTCGACAAGAAGGTGATGCTCTATTCGGGCCGAGGGTGTCGGATTCACCGCGAGGACAGGGCCGAGAGGAAACCCGATGCCCTCGCCGTCGTCACCCTGGGCACGCGAGCGAGGCCAGCCTGGAACTCCCCTGCCAACCGCCCACCTCGCCCGACCCTCCTGGCGAGGGAACCGAGGCCCGGCCCTTCGGAACCTGACCGGGACGCCGGGCCTCAGCTGCCCGTGGGGACCACCCCCCTGACTCACAACCGAACCGGGTGACGCAGCTAGCGGTAAGCTGGCTGACTCAGCTTTCGGAGAATGGACCAACTCACCTTGGGCCAGGTTACCCGGGGAAACGAATTTCGTAATTTCCCTGCGTTCTCATACGCGAAATAGGGATGTCCAGGCAGGCGGGAAAATCGTTACGAAATAAACGGGATTCAAACCATCAAGGCACAGAAAAAAAAAACGTAAGCTATGCTTGTAAATACACGCACGCTACAACAAATCAGTGTTGTGCTTGTGCGGGTACGTGGCACACAGTTTCTGGGCGCGAAAAAAAAAAATCTAGCGCGTAGTATTTCGCGGTTGTCCCGACCTGTGAATTTTGTTATTTTTTCGCACATGCAACAAACATAATATCAACACGGGGGACTTGTACACGAAAATTACCAGTGAAATGTGGTCACGAAAGGTACCTGTGACATGGGTAATAGGCGCGAAAAAACATATTTCGCAGAGCACAAGGGCGTGCAGTGTTCGATGTGTCTGTGTTCTTGCACGTGGGTGTGTTCGTCTGGTTCTATGGGAACCGTACAAGACCAGCGAGCAGTCCCTGCTCGATTTACAGCACTGTTCGCGCCTACAAAACGAGGCTGCTCCAAACTTCGGGGACACGGGAAAACTGCTTTGCTTTTGCTGGCAAAACGGGGAAAGTCCCGGATTTTAACCGTTCGTAAATGCGTGTTCGTATTGTTTTTTTGTCACACCAGCAGAGTTGCTGATTTGCAATGTTTTCGCGTTTCTGCTATAGGGTTTGAAATTCGCCTGTACGAATTGTCCGCTTGAGACACGAACAAACGCACAAGCACTTCCTGTGTTTTTTCGTGCCCCCGAAAACAGAGGGGTGCTTCAACATTGCTTTGCTGTGCGTTGACGGGGTGTAGGTGCGAAAAGAAATTCCCGACGGCTTTCCCTGTGTTCGTGCCCGTGGATTTTCGTCAGAAGCCCGAGAATTGACGGGTTTTCCGAGGGAGTGAAACTCGCTTGTGCGTTCGCGGAGTTATCTAAAAGCGATGGAGGTCGCGCGGGTGTAATTTTTGCGATTTTTCTTCTGCTTAAAGCCCCTAGGTAAAGTTTTTCAAAGATTACTAATCCTGGATTCGCTTCCCCGACGAATTCGTGTAGGAATTTGTCCAAAATGAAACAAACTTGGAAAGTTGAAACAAATGGGTTTTAAAAATTTCTTCATAGCATGAGTTTTGGGGAAGCAATCACGCGGGTGGAAAATCGCATGCAATTTCGGGGTTT